TCTACTTTTTTCTACTGTTCCTTTGTTTCTCGCTTGCTTTCTTTTCCGATTCCTATATGTGGTTAGTGTTGCCATTTTTCTTTATAGCCATAGTAGTACTGTTCACACAATGATAATAAATGATGATGTCAAATCCTCATCAATTAGCTAGACGATAAGATGAAGACGCGTTATTATCTTCATCAAGGTGCTTAAAGAACAAGAGGCCGAAGACTTCTTTGGCGTGAGAGCCCACTCAATATGCTACAGCTGGCTGTGCTATATATATGCTTTTGCCTGCACTACGCCAAGCGACGACGACAGCGCACGACAGCTCCGCACTTTAAAGCTCCCGCACCAGTCTTGTGCTCGTTACCGTGCCCCTTGGTGCTAATATGCACTTGCACAGATTCAATATAACATCGGTCAGTTCAAACGCCTTGATTTGGAGCACTACATTTCTTCTACGAATCGTCGAATGCCAGTATGCGCCATCAAGATCAAATCCTATTCCTCCATTCAAGTGCTCTCACTTCTACGAGCACAATTACGTCCATTGCTTGTAGATGGCCCATTACGACCTTTTACAAGCACAATTATGTCCATTGTTTGAAACAGCCTCAGCTATAGTATATTTCGGATGGTTCTTTAATATTCTTACTAGCCGCTAGTGCAAGCTTGTTTTATACGGCCACCTGCATTTATTATCCAAAACAGTGTGAAGCGTGTTATAATTATTGGGTGCATAATTTCATGCCCACATGCTGGAGCAGCTGTGAATCTGTACCGCAAGCTCGTATGAAGATATCAAAGAACGTGAATAAGGGGCCAGAACACGGAGCCTGGTCTCCGCAACGTCACTCTAACCTGTCTGGTAACGGACTGGTAAATAGTGTCCCACATCGATACTCAGCGAATTCGCCACATATGTATGTATGTATGTATGTATGTATGTATGTATGTATGTATGTATGTATGTATGTATGTATGTATGTATGTATGTATGTATGTATGTATGTATGTATGTATGTATGTATGTATCTGTGTGTGCGCGTGTGTGTCTGTGTGTCTCTCTCGGTGCGTGCGCGTGTGTGTCTGTGTGTCTCTCTCGGTGCGTGCGCGTGTGTGTCTGTGTGTCTCTCTCGGTGCGTGCGCGTGTGTGTCTGTGTGTCTCTCTCGGTGCGTGCGCGTGTGTGTCTGTGTGTCTCTCTCGGTGCGTGCGCGTGTGTGTCTGTGTGTCTCTCTCGGTGCGTGCGCGTGTTTGCGTGCGTGCGCGTGCGTGCGTGCGCGCGTGTTGCGTGCGTGCGTGTGCGTGTGCGTGTGCGTGCGCGTGCGTGTGTGTGTGTGTGTGTGTGTGTGTGTGTGTGTGTGTGTGTGTGTGTGTGTGTGTGTTACTGCGGCATTTCAAAAAGCAATCTGCTGGTCGAAAAAAACGCAGAAATATGGTGGTAACATCTTGTGATGCAGAAACCAAAGCCCTTTTGCTGGAGAAAGAGGTGTCTTGTTTCGACAGTGCCAACCAACAACGCTAATAAGTACTTTGTTCCTAAATTAGGCAGATTTAGTTGCGCGTGTGCAGCAGCCGTACGCTGTGTCCGTGCGGCTGCTGTGGCTGCGCAACTAAATCTCCCTATTGAGAGGAGATTCGGTGAAAGTGTATATTATCATACACGTTTTGCCGTCGTAACGACGAACAAGTACGAATGAATTCGTATCAAAGTTGGTGACTTCGCTTATACGCTAGCCTTGCTAACCATTCAAGCACAGCGCATCTGGCAGTGTCCCGTGTGTTCAAGCGGGAGGCTCCCAGACGCCCTGTGTTCAGAGGCAGTTTTGCAGCTGCTGTGGACAATCGCTTCTACCTTGGTAACAGACCTCAATGAAGTTGCTCTCTTCTCCTTTCTCTCGCGTGATCATAGAGAGTTGTGGCGAGCTTTAGACTGGATGAAGCCTATACGCACCTCTACATCGCTGCAAGAGCCCCAGAATGCCAATGGCGCCTACCGCTGTTTACACACGTGGAATAGGTCTATACGTATGGGTAGCATTTAATGCTTTTTTCATATTGGGTCGTCGTCGTCGTCATTTCATCTTGTTCGTTCCGTTGCTTTTTTAAAGAACATGGCACCTGCTCGTAGCGAAGTATCGTCGAATAAAAATCAGCACAAATTTTAATATTACGTCATGATCATTCGAAAATTTCACTTTTCGAAAAGTTTTTTGAAGCGATTACTAGTACCTTGGATGTCCGGAAGCCCCTGTGACTCTTCCGGTGGCTCTTCGGCCCACATAGATATGCTTAAGTGGATAACAAAATGAGAAACGGATATTTCTATTCATGAGTTCCTTAGTAATATCCCACTAATGTTTGAGGCCACCTTATTAACTTAACTGATCATTAGATGCCTTACCGTGGCCGAGTTGTCATCATGAAGATATCTGTGGACTCTTTCATTCCTGCGAAATAGTGACCGTTCTATATTAACTGTGTGGTACTTTTGGTATTAATGCGATAGCGTTAAAGAGCTTGTTCGGCAGAAATTCCAGCGTGGGCGTCATTATTTCTGGGCAAAAAAATCATCATGTTCGTGAACTGGAAAACGAGAAAGATGCAAATACAACTAATAATAAAAAGTTCCGGGTCTGAGTGAGGATCAAACCCAGGCTGTTGGCGTGGCAAGCAGGAGTTCTACCACGCAGCCACACATCTACTTAGAAATGCAGTGAAATTGACACTCATGTCCTTCCTCTATGTAGGCTTAAATATACAACATGTAATATCGTAGTATATTTGCGTGGTATACAAGTGATTGGGTGTCAAAACATGCGTTTATCATAACGCCTTCTCGGTATAAAGCAGTTCGGATCCCGGCTACGGCGGCTGCATTTCCGATGGAGGCGGAAATGTTGTAGGCCCGTCAGCTCAGATTTGGGTCCACGTCAAAGAACCCCAGGTGGTCGAAATTTCCGGAGTTCTCCACTACGGCGTCTCTCATATTCATATGGTGGTTTTGAGACGTTAAACCCCAAATATCAACCAATCAATCAATCTCGGTATAAAGCCAGCCACCCATTTCAGATTGCAAAGAGGTTAATGCGGGTATACCATTAAGACCACGTAGTGGGTGCTTAGCAAGGTCGAAAACATTGTACGTACATTCATAATTTTTCGTAGTTTAAAACATGCTATCCATTACACAAAATGCAGCCATATGCGAAAACTTCGCTAACTGAAGCCACTTTCAACTCTATATATTTCATTGAAATAAACCATAATTTAAACTTCTCTAGTGATATCATACAATAAAAAGTATGCACTATGTGGTTGAACGGCACCCTAGGAACAGGGTATCGCTATTGCGTTCAACTCTTAGAGGCGAAGCTTAACAGTCCCTCAATTTTGAGGCACGTATACAGAGATATTCTTTGAGCGCTTGTGTGAATGTGTTCATATATTTTCTTGCATATATTATTCAATATTCTACCTTTCTATTCATCCGTGTGTAACAGATTGGTGACTTTGGATCTACCACCCCACCGCGGTGGTCTAGTGGCTAAAGTACTCGGTTGCTGACCAGCAGGTAGTGGGATCTAATCCCGGCTGTAGCGGCTGCATTTTCAGTGGATGTGGAAATGCTATTGGCGCATGTGCTCAGATTTGGGTGCACGTTAAGAACCGCGGGTGGTCGAAATTTTGGGAGCCCTCCACTATGGCGTCTCTCATACTCATATGGTGGTTTTGGGACGTGAAACCCCACATGTCAAGTTTAGAACTATTGGTTCTGATGCCGCCTATTTTCTTTGTATACAGTGCTCACGGAATGAAACAGGGCATCATAATTTTTGGTTTAAGCGGTGTGTGCCACAGAGCTAAATAGCTCATGGTCGCGGCAGCGAATACAGTCACTAAACGTGAAGTTAGCTCTCGTGTAGCCGTACTACCTAATATTTTGCCGGTGCGGTATTAACTGAAGGAGATGAAAACGACAGCATGTTCTTTACTCATTCCAGTACGTCAAGTGTGCCCTAAATCATCCCGTTTCGGTCTGTCAATAGTGTACGCCTAGGAAAGAGAAAGTGAGATGAAGATGCCTCTTAATGAATCTCGCCAAGACGTACCAAAAATAAGAACCACGTTAATGATAGTTATTTTGAGAAAATGACATGTTCTGAAGGGCGTATCATCCTTTAATGTATTAGCGGAGAACAAACCTCTTTTTGGATGTTTTTTTTTTCATTGATGTACGCCTTCATTACTATTTTCACCTGAACTAAGGTAAAACCACAACGGCATTTGCGAGAAAAGGTTTCCAATGAGAATACTCCTTTTGATGAAATCAGTAGGCATAATGGGGAAGAGATATAGCTTTCGAATTTCCTTGAAGTATTGGGAAGTTAACGACAAATCATAGGACTTCAGAACGAGGTGCTAGAGAAACGGGGGCGCCAAATCCAGCGACCTGGGCATCGTCCCCAGCGTTCAATGGAGGGGTTGACGGGAACAAAGACAGCCGGCCACAGCGCCACACCATAGAAACGTCGCCCATGGGGAGAAAGGCCGGCGGCATCGGGGCGGATCGGCGCTTGTTCTGCAAACAAAGTTGGTCCCCGTTCGGGACACGGCGCGAGACTGCCGTAACGTCCCTCGTAGCCGGCGTGCGCCCGAGAACATCACATGTTGAATAGGGAAAAAGGGAAGCGGCGAGGGCGCCGGCGCGGATAGGGAGAGAAGTCCCGACGATGCAAAAAGACGCAAAGCGATCATCCGTGACGCGTGCAGATTCTCCCTAGTGCGCAGGCGCAGTGCGCCGCCCCCTCGCCCGCAGGACCGCGGTGGCAGCACCGGCGGCGGGATCGGGCTCCTTCTTCCTGGCAACCATGGGGTAGTTGTTGCGCTCGCGACCCGTCGGCTGGCCGGGGAAAAATGAAGAGCGATAGTTTGTAGCCAGAGCGCGCGCTTCCCAACGAGGAAGAAAACGAAGCTACCGATCGCGCTCTAGCTGGATAAGGTAACGAACAAGATGCCACGTTCCTTCCTGGTCAAGAAAGTCAAGTACCCGGTGGCCAACCACCATGCCGGCGGTCCCCGCTGGTACCGGCAGCCGTCCAGTCCAACGGAGGCGGCGCCGGTGCCGAGCCCGCAGCCCAGCTCGCCCAGTCGCGCCGTCGCCCTGCCAGCCTACGGTGAGTCGTGCCGTTGGTGTGCGCGCCGCGGCGCTAAAGCCACGGCGCCACAAGTGCATGGGCCCGCCCTGGGTCGCGTGTCCGCGCCGAATTATGCCCCGCTCGATAGGCGCCCCCGGTGCTCGTAGACGCGCAGCAGGAATAGGCGCAACAGGTCCACGGTTCCTCGCGACACAGCGGCGATCAGCTGACGTAGTCTCGCGTGTACACTAAACACACCCAGACACGATGCCACCACGCGCTCTTGCCACGCGCTTGGCCGCCCAACAGTTCTTGGTTGTGGTTTCATTTCCACTTGACATCCACTGTAACGGGAACGATGTGTCGATACAAGTCTTCTCACTAACCGAAAGTGACCTCGACGCGCTTCGGGATGCCTGTGCATCAAGTTTCTGAATGAAGCGGGACAAGCAGACAACGTACACTAGTGCTGTAGTCGTGCCGATTGCAGGTGTGTTTACTCCACGAAACTAGTTGTTCAGAGTTGCGGTATCATAATGCTTACGCTTACTACTTAGTGCATTGCTATTGCCACCTTATAGACCCAGCTTATAATCTTGTGCTGCTAAGATTTATGCAGTGCGAAGGACATTTTTTCACCCTGTGTTGCGTTTTGCGGTATAACAGATGTCATACGAAACCAGCAGCACACTCGTCCGCGGCAGTTTCGGATATGCGCTGGCGATTTGCAAATACATTTTCCACACTATCTCTTCAGTATGCTGCCCATGGAGATTTCATCAAGTGGTACGCGGTAACCAAACCACGTTCAAGACGTAGGCAAATCCAATCTTATGTGTGACTCTCCCGTGCATTAAGACACTCAGAGAGCCTTCTTTATCGAATTTCGAAATATATTCAGCAGTACGAGCTTCAATCTGAATCAGGCAGCCCGACCGTTGCAACAGAAGCAATCACTTCGCTTTGTAACTTATCCTTGTCTAGTTACCGAGCCTTTCTATTTCTTTGTTTCTTCGCATCATAAATGATTCCAGGGTCAAGTAGCCGCGAGGTAAGTGGGTGGTGACTTATCTGCGATTAAATAGTGTGTTTTTTATGTCTTGCATCATTAATGTGTGTTGGGTACAGACGCTTGCTTCATGGCGCTGCAGTCGTTTGCGACGAGAAAGCCTGATTTCTGGTCGAAAGCGACTAGCATAAGCGAGAGGACCATTGGAGTTTCTCAATGGGAAAGAAAGGTGGGAGTGGTTGTGATCATGTTATATTCTAGCACTCCTCAGAAGCCATTACTAACAGCTTAATTCAGATATTGTTGATGTCCAGCAGGGCTAGTTCTTCTGGGTGTACGTTATTCCTTTCGTGATGCAGTATCGTGATGCAGCATCCGTATTTCTAAAATATAATACAGGAGATAACTCAGAATTTATCTGATAAAGGAATTCAGTCCACGTATGTGGTGATCTCCGCTACGGCGTTTCAAACATGCGTCTCGACCGTCTATAGAAAACAAATGAGATCGCAGAACTTCAAAACGTCTACTATGTAACATATCTTTCTCTGTATATTTTCCTTCACACAAACGAGCTCAATATTCTTCGAAGACATCTAAAACAACAGCCTTGAATCGGTATAAAGATAAATAAGTCATTGCAGTTTCATATCAAATTGAAATTTCTTCCTCGTGAAAACATTCGTTGAAATCATGGGCAGGATCATCACCAAAGCTTATTTCACTGAACATACACGCGGTCATTGGTTTAGGTACGGCTGTTGCGCGTCGCTCACTGAGATAAGAGCCGACCTGCGAAACTTTTCTGAATCTCGTCTCGCATACGGGTGCCAGAGGTGGCTTCAATGACGGTTTTTCCTAAATAAAGACGCATAGAAAACATGGTATGGCATCAGAATCTAGTCACGTTCGGCTTTCTTCTAGAGCGTCTTGATCTCGCCTGTTTGCGCTTAGGACAGAGTGTTGTGTTTTTAGTAAATGTTTCTCCTGTGTGAAAGCTGGCCCTTACAGGCGCATCGTTCAAGATGGCTTCCGAGTCAACTACTGGACTCTGTGAAAACTTTTCTTTTTTGAGAATCAAGGCACCAACAAAGGTTCTTGTGGTCCGAATCAGATGCAGTGATGGTGACCCTATAAGCACCGAGGATACACATTGAATACCATCACGTGCCGCTGCCGTGTGCTATATTGTAGGCATGCTCTTCACCCTTCGCGTATTACCACCACATTAAAATAGACAGCACCATGCAGAGATACCTGTACTTGGCAAACAGTGTTTCGAACAGATTCCCATTTGGTCTTTTGAAGCACAAATCAGCAATACTTATTTAAGTGTTATAGCTCAAACAGGCATACCCTGGCAAAGGGCATCATGATATTCTCTGTGATCCCGGTCTACGGTGTACTACAGGGCCCCTATGAACGAAGCCCGCTATGCTCCGGTGAAGCAACACGATACGCTTGAATTCGACACCTGTCGCAGTAGCTTAGCATATAAGATGTTTCGCTGCTCAGCTCGAGGGTGCGAACTCGAATCCTGGCCTCAGCGGCCACATTTACATGGGAGCGAAATTCAAAAAGACACACGTGCTCAGACTTAGATGCAAGTCAGGAAACCCCAAATGGTCAAAATTAATTCCGGAGTCCCCACTACGGCGTGACTCATAATCGCATCATAACAAGAACGAGCCCTCAAGTTTCCACTTCTTTCTTTCATAATCATATTGTGGTTTCGGCATGCGTAAAACCTTCGTTTTTTGGACTGTTCTCTTAAGCTGGTCGTAATTTCTATGTTATGTTTAGGTCGGGATCAAAAAGCGCTTCACCGGTGAGCAGATATTGATACCAGTCACCGTATAGTGTCAATAATTTTGATTTGATTTATATGTGGGTTTTAACGTCCCAAAACCACCATGCGATTATGAGAGACGCCCTAGGGGAGGGCTCCGGAAATTTTGACCACCTGTGGTTCATTAACGTGCACTCAAATCTGAGCACACGGGCCTACATCATTTCCGCCTCCATCGGAAATGCAGCCGCCGCAGCTGGGATGCGATCTTGTGACCTGCGGTTCAGCAGCCGAGTACCTTCGCCACTAGACCACCGCGGCGGGGCTATTGTCAATAAGCTACAGTGCTCGAAGGAAGATGCACGCAAGCAGGGTTGTCTTTGCGCAGGTGTTGTATCTTCATTGAGCACGAAACTCTTATAACGGCAAGTCAAAAAGCCAAACCACAAATTGATTTTCCCTCAAACCGGTTATTATGGACTAGAAAGGTTCCCGGTAAACTAAGGCAGAAATGAATATGTAATAAACTCAGCGGATAAGCAATTGTCTTACGGTTATAGCACTACTTAACTTACAGCGAAGACTAAAAATAATGAAAGCAACACTATAAACCTACGTTACGATTTCTTAACTACGCATTGAGCGAGGTTTTAAGACATTTAGTCAAGTCTACTTGCGTACAATTTTTTATATTGAAACAATTGTTCTTAAATATAATAAAAAGGCCCAGAAGCATCGTCCATTCAAAGGACGCGTTACCTAATGGGTGACGATTGCGGCCGACATACATGCGAAATACATGCTTGCGGCCGAAGTACAAGTTTAAGCTTGCACCAAAGATTCCCGAAACTTGGTACTTTTTTGCAAGGATGCTGTAAATACTGAAAGTGAAGCACACGCTACTTATTTATAAAGAACGCGGAGAGTCTGTGCGGAGCCCTATCTGTGATATAGCTTAGAAATGTAGACTGTTCCAGTTGATCATTTCATTTGACTGCTCAGACAGTGATCAAGAAGTCTAAACTATAGCATATGGATACATAACAGCTGCCAAAACATCGCTGCATGAAAGAGATGAAAGACGAGGTCACTTTTGGTTGTTGCAGAACTAGTGCCATCTTGTCCACCTTGCGCTGTGCCTCATTAATAGACTTAAGTAAGTCACTCGTTTAGTATATACAAAACTAAAGCTCTCAATTTTTCTTAATGGCTGTTGTGTGCGCGACACTACAACTTTAGGTGCGGCACTATACTGAGACGTTAAACTTTCGTACTTCCCTGCACTTGTACACTAGTCGTGTTGAAGATTGTGAATCACCATTTTTTTATAAGTGAGCTGTAATTGATGCGTAAAATGCTGGCAAACAACATAACGAGCAATTAAATCTTTTAGTGGGAATGAATAACGGAAAAGCTGTTTACTAATTACGTTACACGTCGAAGATTATCCTTGAGCAGTTAGAGTTTGCATATTATTTTTTTAAGTCAGAGGCAGCCATCGTTAAGCTGCTCGTCGATGCACAACCGAACTCAACCTATGCTCGCGCATTCGGTGCTCTATAGGTCAATACTTACTATTATTCGAGACTTAGTGTAACTGATGTATCCGCACTGCGATATAGTGTAATTTTTTCTTGCTGTACGGCAATTTTCGAGAGAATAATTAACATTCACCGAAATAATGCCAATAATATAGAGAGTGGAATAATTCAACAGGCTTGGCCAGATGAAGCCAAGTGTAGTGTTTTGCAGCAATCAACAAGTTGCGACGTCGACACTCTTGCATTTCGCGCGGATGGCGCGAGCGTGGCACCAAAGGTCGTAGCGGAAACCGTGGTGTTGGGTCCCGGCAACGTTAACGGTATGGCTAAAATGTTGTGATAGCAGACTGAAGCAGGTGACACGAGCCGTATTTCTACAGTTCGTGTTCACTATGCAGCTAAACACGAATTCATCCCCGTCGAGATTCGCCCTCATGCACCGACAGCACAGGATGCATGGCCGTGCCGGGCGCCCTGGCAGAATTGGCCGTTGTCACTCGGCGTGCACGACGGCAACGCGCGTAAAACGGAGGCTGTCTCTCTTGCCAACAGCTTTGTACGAGTGTGTTCCGCCGGCTTCGTGTAGCGCACGCGCTTGTCGCGAGCCGTAGGAGCGTCGCGGGAAGCGTGGCCGGAAGCCCCGAGGCGGCCGACCATGGCAGCCCGGCCCGGGCGCTCGGCCATTAGGAAATGAAGCGCC